TATGTCAACTATTAAAATTTGAAAATACAAAAAGGGATGGGCATGGCGGTGCACGCCTTTAATCCCAGCACTCAGGAGGCAGAGGCAGGCGGATCTCTATGAGATCCAGGCCAGTCTGGTCTACAAAGCAAGTTTCAGGCCAGCTGTGGCTACAGGGAGACCTTGTCTCAAAAAAAAAAAAAGAAAGAAAGAAAAGAAAATATAAAAAAGAATTAAGAAAAAGATCACCCAGAGGCCTATTACTCAGATGTTGCTGTTTGTTTGAACTGAAATCTAACACTAATCAAAAGAAATTAAAGCAAAAGTAAGTTTAGCTGTTACTATAATTACAAATGACTATGCTGCTGGTCTCTTTTCAAAAGCAAAGCAGCCTTTCCCATCTATCAGTTGGAAATGAAGACAATGCCACTATTGGTTCCAGAACTGGTCCCAAGAGTGTATGATATATGGATGAGGCACATAAAAATCAAGTCCACGAATACTCCGAAAATAAATATTTCATGAGCCCAAGGAATAGTCACAACACATGACCTCAGATGCCATGGAAGGCAAAGTATCTGAAGCCTTGTTAATAAAACCAACATGGCTGCAATAGTTACATCAAAGACTGAGAGTTTTCTATAGACCGTGTCAATGGGAAAGAAAAAGAAAAATTTATATACACTGCTGTAAGATGGACAGTCTAGACCTCTGATTTTTTTCCCACTGCTTACTATACGCTCCTTCTGAGAACTCATGTCCCTCTCTTTCCTCCCCTACACTTCCCTTTCTGCCTCCTCTCCTTGGTGTTACTGTTGCACTGAATTTGCTCTTGGTGTTTAAAATGGCTTCTATACATATTTAGCTATTAAAAAAAAAAGAATAGAGTTCTGGTATATACTGCACCATGGGTGAACTTGAAATACTATGAAAAGTGAGAAGAAGCTAGACATAAAAGTCACATACTATATGATTCCATTCATACAAAATGTCCTGAAAAGGCAAATTCAGGGATTAGGAAAGTAATAGGGTAGGGTGGTAAGGGATGAAGGAAAGAATGAAGACGTGAATGGCTATATAGTTTCTTTTTGAGTAGTCAAAACTGTTCTGAAAGGAGATCAATGGAGGGGGGACAAGAAAAAGTTATGGGGCAGGTAAACATGATCCAAACACATGATATTCACATATAAAATATAACAAAACCCATTATTATGTTATAATACATGCTACCAAAAAATGTTCTAAAATTAGTTTGTAATATTAGTTGCTGTAATCTGTAATATTACCAAAAAAACAATGAATTGTTGGGATCCTGAGCAGAAAAGAAGACAGCTGGGCATGAAGCACCCAGGAGGCTCACCACAAGTTCAAGGCCAATCATGGCAGCTGTAGGCCATTCAGAGCCCCACAGTGAACCCCTGCCTCAAAAAAAAAATTTTTTTTCAAAAATGAAAGTTTTTTAAGGGGTCTGGGGTTTTGGCTCAGTGGTTAAAGGACGTGCTACGCAAATGTGAGTTTAGATCCCCAGAATCCACATAGATGCCAGATGGGCGTGGCAGTCCACCTGTAATTCCAGCCTTAGAAGGCAGGAGATAGGGGATCCCCAGAAGAGGAGGCTATCAAAACTAGCCCTACCAGGGAGTTCTGGGTTTGAATGAGAAATTCTGCCTCAATGGAGAAGATGAAGAAGCAATCAGGATGATTCCTGACATCTACCTCCAAACCTCCACATGCACACACCGCCCACATACATGTGCACCCACACATGAAACATGCATGCATATACATGCACACCACACACAAAGGAAATGGAAAAAGCAATAAAAGGGTTTTTTTTTTTAATTCCCATCCTACCTCTTCCCTAAGTGTGGAGTACAACGATGACTCAGTTGTTAGATACATAGTGACCAGGCTAGTCTACTGAACAATCTACACAAACCACAAATCCAAAGGAGCCCTGCTCCTCAAAAGCAGCTATGTTAATCATGCTTCAAGTTGAAACATGGTCCTCAAATGCTTGAAAATTCTCTACCCCTGCATGGATCATTTCTTCCATTTGTAAGGCACTTTTTACTTTACCCTTAAATGTTCAAATTCTATCGTCTGAAATGCCCAGAGCAGCCAGTGGTCTTAACTGACAAGCCATCTCTCCAGATCCTTATTTTGTTTTTTGAGACAGGATTTCACTAACTTTGCATGCTTATTTTCTATTTCCTATCTACCTGGAGTTAGGAAAATTTTCTCAGACAAGAAGGTTTCAAATGCGGAAAAAGCTTAAGGAGTTCTGATTTAAACCATGGCTGGCAAATAACATGCTGGGCTCAGGAATGCCCAACTCAGTCAAAAATGTGCATTTTCTTGACCAAAAAAAGACTAACTTGTTATACATATGTACATAATCTGAATGAAAGTCTCAAAGAGGAGCTTCGAAATAGATATAACCTCCCTTCCAAGAAACACTATATAAATTCCAAAATATTTGACAAAACTTAGTTGCATTATTTTAGAGCAACAGCATAGGATTTCTCCAAGATCGGAGTTCTACTAGACAAGTCTATTATTACATTTTCTGTTAATTTTTTAATTAATTCCTTCTCCACTTTCCCTGCAACATCCAAAATCCGGTCTCTGCTTTCTTCATGACCATCCAATTTATAAGCCTAACTTCTTATTCTTCACAGAGTTCCTTTTCCTTTAACAATATTTATTGAACCATCTGTGTGTCAGTGTTGAGCGTAGGAACTGGGGAGCAGAAAAAAATTATATATCAAATAAGGTCTCTTTTCCAGACACATTGCAGTTGGGAACTTGAGGTTCTGTACATTTAAGAGCCACGTCTGGCATTAAGAATTCCAAACAATGGATGGGTCCTCTGCCCCCCACCCCCGGAACCCATATGTTCTTACACACCATTATGGCCCCCTACTCACTTTGTGCATCGGGTTAGAAAAGATCTTCTGTTAAACTACCCATATGCTATCACTGACCTCATCACCAATTTCTCTCCAACTTGCTTCCTGCGCTACAATCAGGACAATCTACCTAGTAAAACCTAGTAAGAAACATCTAGGTACCTAGTTTATGACTGTTATCAGCCCAAACCTGTCTACTTTCTAAGACAATCTCCAGTCCTTTTTTGTAAGTATTGGGACGTATGTAACTAGACATAATTTTTTTAGCTTACAACTGCCCTTATTTCTTTTGTAGGCCTCATGTGTGTGACCATGTTTCTCACCTAAATGTATATATCATAATCACCTATAGAACATCTTAAAAAATACAAAAGCCTTGACCCCTACCCCTGGAGAGCCTTCAGTAAGTCCGGGACAGGAGCTGTACATTTTTACATCTACAAAGTCCCACTGGCGATTCTCACACACACTCCACAAGATACACTGATTTATTACAATGCTTTTCATACAGAACACAGATACAGATTCATTCAATGCTTATTAATTCATGGCATGGAAATTCATAAATAACTTTCCTCTAAATAGCCTAACCAGATATCAACCCCTTGACTGCACTAGCTGTGTTCCAAGTGCAACATGTGGTTTTAAGATTTCATTTCCTGAAGTACTACACTGAGAGACACTATTACCTTGCCTCTTTAACATTGTTTCCCATTTCTTGAAAAAATGGAGTCCTGGAGGGCTGCCATGAGAGAGAGCACTACTAAGAATGAACTCTGGAGTCTTAGATTAAAATTAGTCACAAAGAGAGCAGAACAAGGTAGACATGTTGACCGTATCCAGTACTCTCACTGAATACTTCCTACTACCTCTGCACAGAAGAACAGGAATTTGGTCTGAGTGGCCCCCAGCTTCCAGTTACAGTATCCTGAACCACCTGAGACAGGCCAGGGTCTGAAGACCCAGGAAAAATGTTCAGCTGCTCAAGTGCTTGTAAGTGCACCGAAGTCCTCTAATCAGATCAGTACTGCCAGCCCCACCCAGACCGACGGTTACCTCCCAACTCCCTTGGCACACACTATGTACACAGCTCAGTAAGTATGAACTTTTCCAGAGTTGTTCACAGGCAAGAGCAGTCTGAGTCGCCCCGCCTAGATCACTCAGTGTGACAGTGGCAGGGGAGCTGTTATGACACTGGTCTCAGGGCCTCTTTTCCCATTTCAGGGGTAGGCTCATCCTCGCAGAAACCACCCCCCGTTAAGACAGCTGTGGCTACAAGCATCTCCGGAGGGCCACTGGGCCACCAGCAAAGAGGGGACTGGGGAGAGGAAGCCCCTTCCCCCCAGGCAGGGGCTGCAGAGCCCACATTGTCCACAGGCCTCTGGCAGCTCCATCTTGCTTCCTGCCAGAAGGAGGGGCAGAGGAGGAGGGTCCCCGAGTCTGGAGAGGCCCCCATGGGACGAAGACGTTTGACAGCAGGTAAAGCTGGGTGGAAAGCTCCACCCGAGGGAATAAGACGAAAGGCCTAGGGGTCAGGCAGGAGGGAAAACAGGCTTCTGGGCTCATTTCTTCTGGAAGGTATTAGAGAGTGCCAGAGGTGTGAGCACAAGTCAGCAGCCCGGGCGGGAAGGAAACAAAGTAAGACCAGTGGAAAAGGGGGTCAGACACCGGGAGCCCAGGGAGGGCTGGGCGGGTGGGGCTCGGGTGGAGGGCATAAGACCCAGAACAAATACGAAGTCGGGAAGGAAAGCTCGGAGCCCGTGGGAGAACCCACCCCCGGGCCGGATTGGGGGAGGCCTAAAAAGGAGCTAAGAAGCGAGGGACCAGACAACCACCGTTCCTGGAGCGCCTACCAGTGCAGATACACAGGCGCATACACTGTGCAGATAAAGCCTCGCTGAGCCTTTTCTACGCAGCCGCGAGGCCGGCTTTCTAATTACTGCCCCCATTTCACAGATGAGGAAACTGAGGCCCCGACCCGCTCCAGTCCTGGCTCAAGGTCACAGCACCAGGTAAGTCCGCCTTCGAACCCACGCGCAAGCCACTCGCGAAGGGCAGCCGCGAGGCGGACCCGGACCCCGGGGACATCCCGCAGTCCCGCGCACTCACCCGGACCAGGTTGCTGACTGCCGCCTGCACGGCCGCCACGGGCGCGGTGAGGTCGGGAATGGCTTTGCCGTCCACCTCGCCCTCCTCGTGCATGATCACCAGGTGCGAGATTTGCTGCGCCACCGGCTCCAAGATGCTCTCGATCGTGCGCGTGTGGAACACTGGCATCGTGGCGGTGAGCAGGGCGGCGAACCGCTAGCGGACGGGAACCGGGATCCGAGCGGCAGAGAGCCGGCGACCGGGAACGCTCTCACTGAGACGACTGGAGTCCGGGCTTCCCTCAGCGTAGCCAGCCTAGCGGGAGCCCCGCCCCCTCCGCGTCGCTGCGCCCAATGGCAGCACCGCTCAGGCCCGGGAGGCCTCTCCCATTGGTCGGTCTTCGGAAGGCTCCGCCCCCTCGCGACCGCGCCGCCAAAGTCCGCCCCGCCCCATTCCCAAGGGAGGGGCCTGGGATGGGGGCTGCGCCGCAGGGATAGCGCCTGGATTCCCGAGCCCTCACGCGGGGCGCTCCTTATAAGGGCATGGTGGGAGCGGAACGTGAGGCCGCCGGCGGATGGCCCCGCCCCCCGTGGCAGCCTCTGGCCTCCGAGCGCCGGAGCTCCGCCCTCCACAGGATCACCTCAGTGGGGCGGTCTTCTCACCTCGGGTAGCGCCCGGGGCTCCAGCTGGGTTTCTGCTTTTCCTTTCACTGGATAGTACAGACGCTCTTCCCATCTGCTCGTACTACACAGGAAGGTGGAAGATTCAGGCAGCGAGGTAGTCCCATGGTGTGCAGAGGTCCTGGGGCCTCAGACACGGTTGAGAGTTGAGTGGCTCCTAGACCTCCATGTCCTAATGTCCAGGAATTTAGACGTTTACCTGTGTGGTGACTAGAGCTCTACCCTGTTCTTTTTAGTGGCTGTGTGGTAGTCCATTTCTGGACATCAACTCAGGTTCGGTTCTATGTTTTGTTACTGAAAGACAGTCCTGAGGGCCTGGGAATGTAGCTCATTTGTAAAGTGCTTGCCTAGCAGGAGAGGTGGAGGCAAGAAGATCAGAAGTTCAAGAGCAGCCAGCCTGGGCTACATTGACTCAGTCATCCTCATCTTCATCTTCCTAATCATTATCCTCAACCTCCTCCTCCTCATCTTCCTAATCATCATCATCCTTAAACTCATCCTCATCATCCTCATCCTCATTCTCCTCCTCCTCCTTATTCTCCTCCTGCTCCTCATCCTCATCTCCCTCATTCTCCTCCTCATCGTCCTCATTCTCCTCCTCCTTATTCTCCTCATCATCTTCATCCTCATCATCCTCTTCCTGAGGCCAGGCACTATGGAGCGCATGTGTGGTTCCATTACTGGAGAGGCTGAGGCAGGAGGATCATTTGAGCTAAGGATCTCCTGGCCAAGATGGACAACATAACAAGACCCCTATCTCAAAATAAATAAATAAATAAATAAATAAATAAATAAATAAATAACCCTCTATCACTCTGGCCTCCACACATGCACACACATGCTCACACCACACCAATAAATAAATACATAAACAAAGCAAGGCATGGTAGTAAAGCAGCACTTGAAAAGTGAAGTGAAAAGGCAAAAGTTTGCATTTTCCTTTGATAGGTAAGGACACATTGCTCAATCCCTTCACCACATTTGAGACATGTTCTCTTGCTCACTGCTTCCTTATTCTGAGAAGAAACACTTTCATTAATGCTTCAAGTAAAAGATCCTCAAGTCAAATACAAATATGTCCCAAGAGCTTACATGTTACAGAAAGCTAAGCTGCGTGTTGACCTGCCGAATTTTAAAGTCATTTTTAATCTAGTAGTGTATGGTGACCGTCCTGCTGTAAATGTTGTCAAGGCTTGAACTGTCCTTTCTCTCATTTTGAGTTTTTAGTTTCCAGGTATCTATAGTCAGTGGACTTCATCTCTTTCAAGCCCTTATCTAAATTCAGATATATGAAGAATTTACTATATTATTCTCCTATTTCACAGATGAGAAAAGTAAAGTTCTGAAACTTGTTTTAGATTATGCACAGGGCCAATAGTCAATATGTGAGGATCGTTGCAAAATGATCCTTCGTTTAAAGCAGAAAACCATACTGCTAAATATACTGAAATAAACTAGGAACGAGCTCAGTTGGTAGAGTGCTTCCAAAGCCCTGGGCCAATGCATAGCCCCACGTAAACAGTGGGCAGTGCACACCTGTAATCTCAGCTCTCAGGAGATGGGAGCAAGAGGATCAGCAGTTCAAGGTCTTCCTCAGCTTTGCAGCACGTTTGAAGGCAGCCTGGGCTACATGATATCCTGTCTATAAAAAAAATGAGAAATTTGAGGAAATGTATGAGAAACTTGAAGAGGCTCTGTCTCCTGTTCTGCCGACTGGAACAAGTCCTTTCTGAGGACAAAGCTCACTTTTCCCTGCATTTTTGATACAGAACTCCCTTGGCCATTCAACCTTAGACCTCCTTCCTACTAGATTCTGAACGGGAAAGGCTTTTCCTTCTTTTGAGTGGCCTCTCAACTTGCCATTGTGTTTTTATTTACTATGTAATATCCTGTCTTCTGGATGGAGGGATACCTTTGGGGTGTCTACAAACCCTCCTAGAAACTTAGGGACCCATGCTACCCACTGACTGTTAGAATTCTTCTGCCAGCTGTTGGACTGATTCTTTGGTTCCCAGGCTAGGGAGAAGGAAGCCAAACCAGCCATCACCCCCTTTCATAGGCCAGCCTCCTTAGGCCTGCAGTAGATGGATGATCATCAAAGGCATCATAACCTCCACTGAGACTCAATAATTTACATCGTCTGAATCAACCACCAAATGTGCTATGAAATTGCTGGTTTCCATTGGAAATGGCTAGTACTGTGCCTGGAGGCTGGAGGGAGCATAAATTGAACCTTGACCAGGGTGGGCCAGATGGCAGAGACAACTGGGCCAGAGCAGGGAAGTGGAGGCTGGGCAGGACCAGATGAAAGGATTGGGGGACAGGCAGCTGAAAACCTATCCAAGACAGGTCACCAAAGTCTCCATTGTCCCATCAGGCTTGACTTCTATATGACAGACTGAAAGATGAAATGTAAAATGCAGACTGTAACCACAGATAGTAAATCTGCATTCAGGGCTCCACGCAACTTCACTGATGACAGACTCACGAACCAGGCTCTGGCTACTCAGCTGGTAATAGGCCTAACCATGATTGAGTCTTAATAGGTAAATGGCGCCCCAGGAACACCCGTCCTTTATGGAACCTTTCATCAGAATTAATTTAAAAATTTTTTTGTCCATTCCTACTACACTTGCCAAAGTTGCTCTCTTCACTTATTGTTTTGTATAAGGAACAGTGTAGCATTCGGAAGGTGAAACTATTTTCATTACATTTATTTGTGTAGGGGGATGTCCTGTGGAAGTCACAAAACAACACGAGAGAATCAATTCTCTCCTACTATGTGGGTGCCAGGGATCAAACTCAGGTTGTCAGGCTGGTGGCAAGCACCCTTACCTGCTGAGTCATCTTGGTGGCCCAAGTACAATGTTTTCTCTAAACTCTACTGTTCCCCCACTTTACTGATGGGATACTTAATGAGCAGTTTAACATGTTATTCTGTCCTTTGTAGTTCCTGCAAGTTGGCAGCAAGATTCAGAAGCTTGAATGTGTGTTAGTCTTTACCTATAACATATCATCCCTGCCTCCCAGTTTTGTAATCTAGGCTACTCATTACTGGACATATTAACTTCCTTTTTTATTTGTTATTTTTATTTTGTGTATGAGTATATTGCCTGAATGTTTGTAAGTGCACCCGTATTGTACATGTCCTTGGAGGGCAGAAGAGGGCATCGGATTCCCTGGAACTGGAGTTCAGTTGGTTGTTAGTCGCCCTGTGGGTGCTGGGAATTGAACCCAGGTCCTCTGCAAGAGCAGCTAGTGCTCTTGGCCACTGAGCCATCTCTCCAGCCCCCATATTAACTTCCTAAGATACCACTTTGCACAGTCCTTTGCTCCCCTCATTCTACATCCATATCCATTTCTGTTCTTCCCAACATTCACATGCACCCTCTAAAATCTTTCTTGACACGTGTTAATGCATATTGACACTAACCTTACTGCCTTCTGCTTCCCAAGCCAGACCTCTGTACAGGGAGGTTAACCAGCACAAAGAACACAAACTCAGAATCGTTAGTGCTTAAACTATAATCCTAGCTCTACAATTTGACCATAATATAGATCTGGCTAATTGTTCTTCTTCTCTCTGCAGTAAAAGTGAAATAATGCCACCTTCATAGACTTTATATAAGGATCAGTAATGAATTTATAGAAAGTGCAGAAGGGCCTGGAGATGTCTCTTGTTTGGCAGAGTGCTTGCCTAGCATGCACAAGGCCCTGGGTTTGATGCCAAGAACCACATAAATCAGACAGGGCGACCCATGCCTATAGTCCCAAACTCTGGAGGTAGAGGTAGGAAGATCAGAAGTTCAAGATCATCTTCTTCTTCATAGTGACTTCAATGGCAGTCTAGACTACAGGAAATGAGAGCTTACCTGAAAATGAATAAGCAGTAGAGTTCAGGAAAACTTCAGGAAAAGGGATCATTATTATTATTGGGACAATGACAAATTCACAGACTCCCAAAACTCTTGGTAGAATTTCACTTTGAGAATTTTGTTCACATTTTTCCACACAAAAGTTTTCAATACTTGTATAAGCTTTGTGAATTATGGTAGGCAAAATTCTAAGATATCCCACATTCTGGCTACAGAGACTGTATGCTACTCAGATTCCAGGTAGGAGATCACCACTGGCCTGTGGATAGGAAACAGTCCATGAGGCAGTGGAACTAAATCTGTCCTCAAAGAAATAGCAATGTCAGGTTAAGCAGACTAGAGCAGACCTTCCAGAACTAGCAAGTCTGGAGGTGGGTGCCTATTCCACGTCAGTGCCTAAGTTAGTGAGACTCAAGGGAATGTTCCTGCAACTCAAAGATAAAGATGAGAAAAGTAATTTCCACAAGATCATAACCTACAGATGTTAAGTACTGCATGGCATTTGCTCTTACTTGTGGCTAGCTCAACTTACTCTTTGCTACATAATTATATTGAAGACCACTAAGGATAGGGAACATTGTAAGATATGTAGAAATTTATCATATTTATGTTATAAATAATTCAAGATCTTTTG